GGGATTCTTATCCAGAAAGATAAGGTAAAAGTTTGTTACGCAGTGCTGAAGGCCTCATAAATGTGCAATGGCCCCAATCAGCAAGCTTGGGCAAGGAGGGCATCTTGGGGTTCGGTCTAGGTGTAGGGATGCAGGCCAAGGGAGTGGGGGGTAGGGAAGTGAGGGTGTTCAACATGGGGTCAACAGAGTTAGACACCAGGCATTTATTCTACCCTCCAGATTTTTGATTTGGAGGAGCCAGTCCCCACTACTAATTGGAATCTGGCAGTTTCGTGCTACCTGCTAAAATTTGGGCAGGATGTGATGGCCTTTGCCTGTGTGCATAAAGCTGCCAGGCTCACTGGGCTGCAGGCTCCTAGCAGGTCACTGGCTTTTGGCTGGGGTGAAGGTAGACTCTCAGGCTGCCTGCATCCTCTAGAACAGTCTAGTGCCCTAATATCACTGATTCATTGTTGACTTTCGTTCTCTATACATTCAAGCCATTGATAACATTTACTCTTCTAACATTTTCAATTCTTTTTTTCACGATTCTCTTCTCATTCAGATTTCCTAGTCTTCCTCTCCTAAAAGTTCAATTTAGAGATTTCAATAATATTGGATCAAACTAATGGGTAGATGGAGTGGGTACAGTGTGACTTGAAGGGTTCTGGCAATGCCCCTTGTGGAACTGAGGCAGGGCTTTATTTATTTATTTTTTTCTGGTACAATATTGACTCCTTGAATTCCCTTTTTTAAAATGCAAATAAGTCCAGAGTGTAATAAGTTAACTCAGGTTCCATTTAGCTGGAAGTTAAGAGCCCAGATGGGAGTGGGGTCCTTTGGGAAAAGGTAAAATGCAATGGGGTACGCATCAGCAGTCACTCTCACCCACCGAGTTTCTTCTTCCAGACAGCACCAGCAGGAAGCAAGAGGGTGCAGAGAGGAGGGCAGGCCTGACAGTAACCCCTGTGCCTAGTCTCTTTGTCCCCGTCAGCACGTCTACAAATGCTCTTTACGGTTAGTAACCAGGTACCTGAGAGCCTGCCTTTCTATGCACTCTGCAGGAGTTTGTCTCCCCCCACAATGTATCCAGCTACTAAGGGTTAATGTTTGACTCAGCTGGGGTGAGGACCTTGCAGGTTGTTAAATATTAGGTCACCAAATATGAACTGTCTGATTCCGAATCAAAAGTGTAGTTTATTATATCTCTAACAAGAAGCAGTACAATTAATCAAACTATGCGCCTAAATGATGGACAGAGTTTTGCCATCTTAAGGGTAGCTTGTTTATGCCAGCAGGGAAGAAGCCTGGAAAGCAAGTGCTGATGAAATTGCGAAAGGTGTTTTCCACAGCTTGTTGAGAATGTAATATTTTTCCTTGCAAGAAGTGATCCAAAGCCTGGAAAACGTGGTAGTCAGTTGCTGCAAGGTCTGGTGAATATGGTAGATAACAGAGCACTTCCAAGTCCAGATGTTGTAGCTTGAGCAGTGTTGTTCGTGTGACGTGTGGTCGAGTGTTGTCTCACAAGAGGATTGGCCTGTCTCTATTGATCGATTTCGGCTGCTTAATTGCAAGCATCCTCATCATTTTGTCCAGTTAGTTATAGTAGACATCCTCTGTAATCGATTGACCAGGTTTCATGAAGCTGGAGTGGATAATACCAGCACTGGTATTTTTTATTTATATATATA